GGAACGGGAGGTTGAGTCAGAGTTTCTGGGAAGTATTCTGAGCTTCTTTCACTCCATTTAAACCAGCTGAAAAATGTTTTGGGTTTTTTTTTTTTTCATGTAAGTTTATAACTTATTCTAATTGATATGGTAGGACACTGCAATAAGCTACTTCTGGCAAGTGTAAGTGCTTGGTAAAGAAGATTTAAGTTAACTTTCAGTAATTAGTATATTGACTTTTGGCTAGTATAGTCAAATAGCAATCGTTTCTGGTGGAGTTTATTTTGACATTATTTTTCAAAACTGCAATAAACCTCGGGTCTAAAATTGTACAGCAGCTAATAATATTTTGTACAGCAGCTAATAAATCAGACTGAATTTGCAAATGTTCTGCTATTCTCATGCTCCACCTCTATTTGCCAGAACCAAAGAGATTTTTCATTCACTGCTTTCAAGGTTTCCAGAATTAGGAGGTTGCTGCTGATTTTAAGACATTCTGAGGCATACCTGGTTGGTTTGTCAGCAACCATGTATTAGTTCAGTCATTGTAGCTATTAATCAATATCATGGAAACTGTGTAAGTATAGCCTTTATAAATCTGCCCATTAATTATGAGGTATGGTTATTGCTGAGTAATGAAATGGTGGCCAGTGGAAAATGCTGGTGAAGCCACAGCTGTATTTTTCACAGGATGCTTCTGTTGCATCGCTTCATGCTCATTCAGGCAGTGACAACTGTTCTGAACGTTTGTACATTTGTTCCACAACCACCTCTGTTATTCCACAACTCATTCATAACTAATCTGCAAATCCTCATTCCCTTCTCCTTCTGGCCTATCTGCAGGACTCCTCAAAGAGCACACACGGTTAGATGTAGTGGTGAGGCAGGACAGCTTATCCTCTATGCGTTTTACAGGATTTTTAGTGCTTAAGACACATTAAAATGTTCACAGCTTTTGCAGTGGATGTGTGTCAGAGTTACTTTTGCCATTGGTATTAATTTGACCATTTTACTCTTCCTTCTGTCTTCTTATCATTGTTAAAACTTTCCTACCAGGGCTTCTTTTAAATTAGGTTAAAAACTCTTTTGGAGCTAAATGCTGTCTGTAGCTTCTACAGATTCTAATCCATTGCAGATCTGAATATGGAAGAGGCAGAGCACTAGGACTCAGAGGAGCTGACATCTTCCCTGTGTTGTCCCTGCAGCCTGCCCTGGGACATTCAGACAGCCAACACTACCAAGCCCTCATTCTTCCTCTCATTTTCAGTCTGTCTGGAGAACAAACTGCCTCTTTTGTGTCTCTGCTGTTGGCTAAGCTCAGTTTTAGTCCTTTCTGAAAGACATAAAACAGGAGGTTATAATAGAGTACAATCATAGAATCATTTGAATTGGAAGAGATCTCTTCAAAGGTCGTCTAGTCCAACGCGCCTGCAATGAACAGGGACATCTAAAACTAGATCAGGTTGCTCAGAGCCTGGTCCAGTCTTACCTGGAATGCCTCCAAGGACGGGGCTTCAGATTAACCTGAACAACAGTATGGTGTATGGAAAGAGAAGTATCTTTCCAAAGCCTGAAACTCTAAAGCTGGCACAAAGCAGACTGGGAGAGGACCCTGCTGAGTTTACCTCCTCAGTAGCAGAGAAGTAGACATACAGAGACAACCACAACGCTGTAAAGCAGGAGCACTTATTTTCTTCTTTTACAGAGAGACGCATGGTGGTAGTCAAGTGTTTACTCACTGTAGGAGTGTAGCTGCGCTGGGTACCTGGTTGCTGAGGTGATCCGAACAATTGCCTCTAACGTGGTTTTGTAGAGATGTTAGAAAATGGAGTTCGTAGAATTATAGAATAGAATCATAGAATCATTAAGGTTGGAAAAGGCCACTAAGATCATCTAGTCCAGCTGTCAGTGCATCCCCACCATGCCCAGTATGCCATGTCCCTCAGAGCCACATCAGTGCTCTTCTCGAACACCTCCAGAGACAGTGATTCCATGTCCTTGGGCAGCCTGTTCCAATACCTCACCACTCTTTCCGAGAAGAAATTTTTCCAAATATCCAATATGAACCTCCCTGGTGCAACTTAAGGCCGTTCCCTCTTGTCCTACTGTTAATTCTGCATTCGTTCAGATAGGGTCGATCTTCAGAAAAGGAAAAGGAGTTCTACCATATGCTGGAGCACCTGTCTGGAAGTACTTGAAGCCCCATTGCAAGTGATTCCATACATTTCTGTACGAATGATAGAGCAGGTGCGGAGCAAGGGAGCAAGCACAGAGATGTATAAGGAGCAGAGGGGTGATTTTCAAAAGGTACTTTGGTCCTTCTGCTTGCTTTAGATAAAAGTTCTTGTGGATAATTTAAACTTTTGATGAGTGAGACAGAAAGTAGAAGAGGAAATTGCGTGTTGTAAGACCTCATCTAGATGAGATACCATCTTCACTCTCTGAAATGCTGCTGCAGACTGAAAGATCGTTCTCCTGCTGGAAAAACTGTTGACATTTTTATTTAGTTTTAGTTTTGCATGGAATGGGCACAGTGGACAAAACTGGAAGACAGTAGTCCTCCTGGCTTTATGAAAGCCACATTTACGCTGAAGGGAAACATAGCTGTTTGCTTGTTGTTGCTTTTGGTTTCAACAAAACCCTCAAAGGATGTAATTCAAGCAATTCACACGTTTAAACAATAACACTGAATTGGGCTTATTTTCAGCTTGGCACCTGTCTTTGCAGAAGCCTGGAAACTCATTTCAGGCCTATTCTAGAAATGTCACAGGGATATTTTCAGGGCTGGTGAACTGGTCTGTTCTGCTCTCGTGCAGTCTTACAAGGCAAACACCAGCCAGCCAGCTTACAACAGAGTTGACCATTAGCACTGCTTCTGCCACTGGGTCTTTTGGTGGTTATGGACAATTGCTTGCTGTCTCTGTGACTCCATTTTCCCACCTTTAAAATAGGAGTGATGGCTTTTATTCCCTTTCTAAAGTGCTTTGAGATGCATTTTATATCACAGCAAAAATTCCTAAGTGTAGTCGTATATTCTGCTCTTTCAGAGCTATTGGAAGCTATCTGTGAATCGCTGCAACCAGTGGGGGTCCCTGCAGTCATTCAGAATTGGTAGCTGGGAGTCAGTGGCGACTGCACAGACATGCCCATATTCCAGAGTTGCCACTGCAGCTTGTACGGATAGCCCAAGCTGGTGCCTAGCACTGGCACTGCTAATGAGGCACCCGTAGTAGCATGGAGCTCAGTGTGTGCTGCTGGCTGCACCCAAGGAGCTGAGAGCAGCCCACGCTGGGCTCCACGCTGCTGCAACAGCGTCACTGCTGGTAGCTCCACTAGTTAATTTAAAGCTAGCTCAAGTATGTCTGCACAAGCCGCAGCTAGGCTGTGACTGCGGTATAAAAATAACCCTACAGGAGAACACAGGCAGCCAAATCTTCAGAGAAAGCATCTTACTTACATTTGAAATCAAGCATGGGCAGATGGCATTGTTTCAAATTTGCTTTACCTTTGGTTTGTTGTTCTTCATATTCTGCAGATGCAGCCATGTTCCTAAAATAGGTGGAGATTTCATTTTTCCTCCTCACCTGTCACAAATGGTGTTTTAGACTAGGATGTGCTTAAAATAGGAGTTTAAATACCTCAATTTTCATTTTGTTTGCCATTTTAACCGTGCATGATGCTCACCTCCTTTTTTTTTCATCCAAAGTGGGTAGGAAGACTTAATATTGTGACAATAATGCTGAGCAGTAAGTACTATCACTGTTTTCAGAGATGGAGAAATCAAGGCAGAGGAAAAAAATTACCTGCCAAGGCTTAAACAGTGAGTTAAGGTGTGAGAAAGGGCTGCTACTATGCATTTATTTTTCCCTGGGGGAACCAGTGCTGTTTGGACCACGTGGACTGTATCAGTCAGCAACTCACCAATTAACCATTGCATCCTAAGCCATTTTTTGCCAGGCCCCCAGTTTTTCTACACCTTATGCTAATGTTTATAAGAGAGGTCTTAAGTATACTTTACAATGACATAGCAAATTAATAATAACCTAAATAATTCAGTACTATATAAATTGTATGGAACAAGCATCCTCCTAGGGTGTATCATATAAATAAAACATGGGTTAGAATGGACTATGAATGATGGTATTGTAAGAAAAGCATCTCAAAACATAAAGGAGTAATGATCACATCCTTTTCTGTTTTATAATCTTCCTTCTTTAACATACTTTAGGAAAAAAAAAAGAAAAAAAAAGGTTCCAAAATCCAAATGCTTATGCTAAAGGTATACATTGAAAAAATCTTGGTTTAAGTCTCATTAGGTGTGTTAAGTGTCAATTCATTTGACAAAATTCTCTCTTAGAAAACAGTTCTCATCAGTTCAGTGCTATTTCATGGCTGATTCCTCAAAGATCTATTCAGAGTATAGAAAGAAGCCACATGATTCATTCAGCTTGTGCATATCTTTTTTATCTTGATAGAAGGATTATCTATGAAGAGATAAAGGTTTGTTAAACAAAGTATCATTAATCACTCTGTCCGGAAACATAGTCTTTGCAGGAACATGCCGTAATTTGCATTACTTTCGCTATGCCTTGCCAGTGCTGCTGGTGAGAAATAAGAAACCTGCATTTATGAAAAGGACAGGTTTAAGATGAAAATAATTCTATACGAAAACTATGAGATTGGTACAGAATCCTGCCGCCTGCACTCATTCAACGGGAGAACACTGTATTTGTAATAAATTCCTTTTGCTCTGGATGAGTTCTGCATTTTCAATGAGGTTAACTTGGCAACATTCTAGTTGATTTTAATAAAAATAGCTGCTTTGAGGACAGGGAGCTGAGGTTGCCAAATTTACAGCTGCCTTGCACAATTACTCTTACACCTCCTTCAGGGCTACTTAGAACCAGTAAGCAAATTAAGTGTATCGATTGCAATTTTGTTGGACTAACCCTTTTTTCTTAAGGAATAAACTTGATTCCTTTCAGTATGTGTCTGCTCAGAGTGATCTCTTTTCTTTTCAGCCATAACACAAAGACAACATCATGGCTGGATCCACGACTTGCGAAAAAGGCTAAACCTCCAGAAGAGTGCAAAGAAAATGGTAGGTTATTAAGTTTTCATTGCTGCTCAGAGGGGATTTGCCTTTGTGTGTGTGTCTCTCTCAGTTCTTACAAAAATCAGGCATTTGGGGGAATGATGAAAGGTGTTTAATTGCTGCTTTGGTTACAAGCCATAAGTGATACCAGTTCTCAGTGTGCCATGTGTTTCTGCTTTTTATTCCCCTTTCTGATGCTATCCAAAGCTGAGGATCACAAGTGTGTTTTCTGCCTGTTGTGTGTGTGTGACTCCGGGACTGACCCTCTCCCTCATCTCCTACGGAGAACTTTGGTCTGCAGAACAGAATCCCTTTTCAGATTCTGAGCTTTTAATCTACAGGCGATTCAATGCATAAGGGAAGCTAGCAGCACCGTGGGAATATGAATATTGTTTGATTTGTACTTAAAGGTACAGTGCTATGCTGTTTAGTAGCCAATTTAAACAAAATAGCGTCTGATAAAGCACCGTGTGGGAGGGAGAAAATAGATCTGTGTCTGTCCGAGTTTGTGACTGCATTTGGGGGTACTGTGTTGTTAAGGGTTTTAAATTTATCAGTGTAAATAGTATGGGGATGCTTAGAGAGCTGCGGCTGAAATGCAGGAGAGATGAGTTGTATATCGACTAACTCAACGAGAGAGATGGAATACACATCTCCTCAAACTATTGCTTATGCACTCAGTATGATTTTTATTTTTCCTCTAGTAAAGTTTCAGGGATCAGAATCATTTAATAAAGCCAAATTAAATATGCACAGTGATGGATCTTTTTTCTGGGGAATTTTATTTTACTGTTTAATACTTCAGTGTAAATTAAATGAGCCAGTTAAGAAGGAATGATTTCTAAAGAATGCTTCTTGTTTTGCTATTATGAGATATAGACAATTAGATGCATGCATGCTATTTACATTATCTCAAAGCATTTTGGTATTTTAAACAGACTAATAGGCTTTCTTGTACTGCGTCTGATTTATTTTAAATTTTCTAAAATGCATTACATTGTTTAATGTAGATATTATTAATCAAAAGAAAACTCAGTGCAATTTAGGGCTGATAAAGTGTCACTGAAGAGTTGCTGGTTGTGTGAAATTTGGGGCAATGATTTGGTATAAACTGTTCTATTTTTGCAGATGACTTCTTTTTTGAAAGGCTGCTTTTTCTAAAAATCCCTTCTTTATTTCAGCAGTAATTCTGACGTTCTCTTCTGACATCAGAAATTACATGTCTGAATGATTTTGTAATGCTTATTCCAGCACTTACAACACTAGTCCCTGGAGTAAATTCTGTTCTGAAAAGAAGTGTTACTGAAACAAAACAGGGGAACAGGAGTTCTGTATTATAAATCTCTCTAATTGCATATATGAAGGAATACACACAGAAAAAAACAGGAGAAAAATCCAGCTATATTTATAAAGTAACGTACCACATTACTTGGAGTGAATGTGTGTTGCTTTTGCTTTTTCTTTCTTATAACTGTTATATTGAGATCACAAAAAATTCTGAAAATAGCAGTGTTTGATATAATTTTAAATGAAGATCAATGCATTAAAAAATAGCATTATCTTACAGATATTTGACTACTAGATTATTGAATGAGGATAGTGTTCTGGGTCATGCTGTACTTTAAAGTTACTCACCTCATTAATGCAAAGTACCTGAAGTGAAGCTTGAAAGAGTACGAAGAGGTCTTGTATTCTTATAGAGGTTGTTCTTGCAATGTCCTCCTCTTTTCCTAAAGCTCTTCAGTTGCTCAAAAATTGCTGCTGTGGTTTTCTGGTGTTTGGTTGTTTGCTTTTGTTTATTTATTTTTTTTAATGTCCAATACCTGCAGAAGGAAGTCTCTTGAAAATGCTTTAAAATGACTATACCTTGCTCTGAGGTCCTCCACCATGGTGCTTGTTATAGCACACAGGGGTATGGAATTTTAAATTAGATTTAATGTCAGGTCAAGGAGTAATACATTTAAGTATGACTTGGTTATCTTATTGATCCCAAACATCTTTTCTGTTACATTTCATGATTTATTATGGCACATTTTTACTAAGAGATAGAAAAATTTAGAACATGCTGAGATAGGAAATGATACTTAACGTCCTTCCGCATCGCTATCTGCATAGCTTGTGTTGTCATTACAGTTCTTTTGCAATATTTGAAACTTGTCTTGATTCCCTGAGATATACTATTATGCTCTTATCACCTATCAGATCTTGCTGTCAAGTTTTCATCTGAACAACCCAACTTTCATATTCTCTTGCTGTGCAAATCCTGCCAAATCCTTCTTCATTCTGCCACCAGCACACCATCTCCACCCCGACAAAGTCTCAGCAGTGTTTAATATTTGAGTCTTCCTGATGTTTTGGTCTAACAGTACTGAAGGCCCCCTCTGCTCCAAGCATCTCCTCTCCTCTGCTTTCAGCTCTTCAATGTTCTTTTGCCAAAAACTAATTCTCCACATTCCCCAGCATTCCATACGTGCAAATCTTGGTGCTCATTCACTTCTATTTGAAAGTCTGAACTAACCTTTCAGCACATCCTTCCTCTCGGAAGAAAATTTGACATCTTTTCCAAGACACTGACAAGCTCTACCATGGTAAGCTTTCTCTGCCTTCATGCTGTGAACTCCTTCTGTTTTTCTTTAATGACAGACACTGCTCTTACCCCCTTTGTAGGTCAGGAGGTTTTAGGGGCTGATTTTTATTTCTGTCTCTGTCATGACCTTCTGAGTGAGTTTCGGCAAATTACTTTGACTTTTTCTCCATCAGATCTACTTAGATGGTAGTTCTCTGAAGCAACACTGCCTCTTTCTTTGTTTGTATGGTGCTTGAATTTCATAACAGCAGGAAAGAGAAATGGCTGGCAATGCAAACTGGAATATTTTACACATTTCTGGTGTCTTTTCTCTCCTAAAAACCAGAACTAAAAAATTTGATTTGTCTGATTAGAATACTTCCTTTAAATTTTTTCTAGTTGTTTTGGTTTTTTTTTCACATGAAAAATCATAGAATAATAGAATGGTTGACCAGTATTTGTCTGCAGATAAACGTAGTTCTGCACGCTGTAAGCCAGATTCCCTGGTTGCTACATTTTACATAAAATTATAACACATAGCAGACTTCTCAGATGTGCATTCTTACAGCTATGTTGTGTGAATGGTCTGCTAACAGAGTCTGTTCTTTGGGAAAGAATATGGAAAAGAAGTACAAGTCCCATAAGGCAATAAAATGTAGTCTGATGTGGAAATGAAGAAATGAAGTAATTTAATTTTTCAAATTCTTTAATCCATTTCAGGAAAAATTCCATTCTGGAGAAAATTGGGGATTAAACATCTGCGGAAATTTCCTGAGATCTGAAAATCACATTTCACTTAGTTCATTTCTAATCCACTCCAATCGATAGTAGTCTCTATCACTCTTGCTTTTTATGCCAACCTCCTATCACCTAGAGTCAAAACTATAAATAAAGCTTTGATTTCACCTATTATCATCTGTCATGTGCCTTTCCATCTACTCTACACCCACAAACTTGACTGAAAAAGAGCAATGTTTATTTAGGAGAGTAGAGTTGCCTTTTGACTTCATTGACTGTGCATACCAGTTCTATTTTAACAATGAAGGGGCCCAGAGATGTGGTTCAGGCGTAAATACCTAGTACTTTCAACTTCCATATACCCGTACTTTGCCACTTCAGGCCATGTAGGACTTTTCACCCTAGCCGAAGAGTTTTCTCTCGCTGCTTAGTGAGGTACATGTGGTACCATGCAGATAGCCGTGAATCCAAGAACTCAGTTCTTCTTCCATCTTCAAGACCAACTTCATCACATTGATTGATCATCTCTAAACATCTCAGATCCTAATCTCCCTTTCTCCAATTTAAAAAAAAAAAAAAAAAGAAAGAAAACTGGTGATTTTTTAATCGTTATTATATAACTGTTTTTTTTTTTTTAATTCTTGATATATTTAGTATGCCAGAAAACAAAACAAAATAAAAAACTTGAAGGTGAATGTTAAATTCCAAATCAAAAGGATGGTCTCTGATTAGGCCATCTGTAACCTCAAAGTAGTAACTGTCTTACAACAGCAGGAAGCATTCACATGAGTACACAGGCCCACTTTTCCTTACTTTTTTCTAAAAATTTATGTAGTACATTTTTAGCTGGAAACATTTCATGTGAGACACGGGAGCATGTTTTTTCTTTGTTGACCTCTTTAAAAGGTCTTAAGAATTAAGAAAAAAAAAAATTATAATATGATTTTGTGTTATCAGTGCCTTAATGCTAAGTAGTTCTTTCTCAAGATCTCACGATTTAACATACAGTCCCACTTTGTGTTGCTGGTCTAAGCTACTGCCTTGCCAGTTTTTGCATACCCCTGCATACTAATACTAGAAATAACTGAAATCCTGCAGTTAGTCTGCAGTTGACCGTTTTGCTTGTTTCCAGTAGGTGTTCTTCCTCTCTAAACCATCTAACTCCGGTAGAAAGACAGATTTTCAGAGATAGAAGAAAGTTTATATGGGCAACTCTGACTGTTGTTATATCTCCACAAATGCAAAACAGGAATACTACACAAGTATTTTCTCAAATGTCACCAGGCTTTGTTAAAATTAGTAATTTTTCATATCATTAGGTTCTTTGATTGTTGTTAAAAAAAAAAAAAACAAGAAACAACGCCAAAATCTAGGACTTTCTCACCTTATTTAGATTTAATACATCCCATATTTCTTCAAGAAGTCAAACCACATAACAAACATTTTTTTTTTCCTATTTCTCAGATTTCTTTTAGTATCTCTGCCATGATTAAGCTACAAAATGTCTATGTTTGCATACACCTCCTTCCTTTTAGCAAGTACAAGTGGCTCTACTGTTAAATCTATGCAGAACTCTACAGAAATTACCACTCAAAGTAAATCACAAGCATAATAAGAAGTTATTTGTCATTGTTTACCTGATTCTTCATCATCATGTTGTAAGATGTCATCTCTTTATATTTGCATTTTGTAGATGCACTTG